TGCTGTTGCTGCTGTTGTTGTCGCTGCTGATGTTGCTGCTGTTGCTGCTGCTGTTGTCGCTGCTGATGTTGCTGCTGTTGCAGCTGCTGTTGTTGCTGCTGTTGCTGCTGTTGTTACTGCTGTTGCTGCTGTGGTTGCTGCTGATGTTGCTGCTGTTGTTGCTGCTGTTGCTGGTGATGTTGCTAATGCCGCAAATGCTACTGTTGCTGCTGCTGTTGTTGCTGCTGTTACTGCTGTTGTTGCTGCTGTTGTTGCTGCAGATGATGCTGCTGTTGCTGCTGTTGTTGCTGGTGTTGCTAATGCTGAAAATGCTGCTGTTGCTGCTGCTGTTGTTGCTGCTGCTGTTGCTGCTGATGTTGCTAATGCTGAAAATGCTGCTGTTGCTGCTGCTGTTGTTGCTGCTGCTGTTGCTGCTGCTGTTGCTTCTGGTGTTGATGCTGATGTTGCTGCTGTTGTTGCTGCTGTTGCTGCTGCTGTTCTTTCTGCTGCTGTTGCTTCTGCTGTTGCTGCTGATGTTGCTGCTGTTTTTTTGCTGCTGTTGCTGCTGCTGTGTTGCTTCTTATGATGCTGCTGATATTGCTGCTGTTGTTGCTGCTGTTGTTGCTGTTGTTGCTGCTGATGTTGTTGTTTTTGTTGCTGAAGTTGTTGTTGCTCTTGTTTTTGTAGCTCTTGCTGTTGCTGATGTTTTTTATGTTGTTGCTGCTGTTGCTGCTTCTTATGATGCTGCTGATGTTGCTGCTGTTGTTGCTGCTGTTGTTGCTGTTGTTGCTGTTTTTGTTGCTGAAGTTGTTGTTGCTCTTGTTTTTGTTGCTCATGCTGTTGCTGCTGTTGTTGCTGCTGTTGCTGCTGTTGCTGCTGTTGTTGCTGCTGTTGCTGCTGTTGCTGCTGTTGTTGCTGCTGCTGCTGTTGTTGCTGCTGTTGCTGCTGTTGCTGCTGTTGTTGCTGCTGTTGCTGCTGTTGCTGCCGTTGATGTGTTTGTTGTTGCTGCTGCTGTTGCTGACTCATTTCGGGATTATTATATCGGGATTATTATATATTACATTGACTACTCAGTGTAGATTACCAACTGTTTCTGCTGGAAATATCTTCTAAATTATATATTATAATCATTTAAATTATTTAATCACATTTATAGATTCTGATGATCATTCTGATCATTTAAATTAATTCTGATAACCTAGCCCGAGGGTTTTCATTCATTGAAGGAAATCTTCATTTCGATCGAGCGAAATCCACCTGCGTGCGACCTCAACAAGAGGGTTGAGTTCACACGTCCAAAATAACTTGTTTTATATGTACATAGACCGCACGAGCCATTCAACGTCGAAACAACGTTTAATTAACGTTATTTCAACACCATAACGTTTTATTCAATGTTAATTTAGCAAAGCAACGTTTAATATAACGTTAATACCACCAAACAACGCGTTTCCGGCATTTGGAATAACAATTAATTAACGTTAATTCAACAAAAAGGATTCCACAAAATCACGATACGATTAACAAAACAACGTTGAATTAACGTTTATCTACAAAAATAACGTTTAACTAACGTTTATCTAGCAAAACAACGTTTAATTAACGTTTATCCAATAAAACAACGTTTAATTAACGTTCATCTAACAAAACAACGTTTAATAAACGTTTATCTAACAGAACAACTTTTAATTAAAGTTTATCTAAGAAAGTAACGTTTAGCAAACGTTTATCTAACAAAATAGCGTTTAATTACCGTTTATGTAACAAATTAACATTCAATATAACTTTGATTCAGATGTTTGGTCGGACGGTGATCTCTCGGTTAAGAACAAACTGAAACGAACGAGAATACACACTGGCAAACATTTATACAACCTCACCAAGACGAGAGTAATAAGCTTGACTCGTATACTGCGACTGGCGGCAACGTGTGTTTGGGCCGGTCTCCAAACATTAGTCTGATTTGTTCAAACGGTGGAGACCGTGCGAGGCGAGATGTTATTTCCTGGCCCTGAAATTATCGAGCGAAGATAAACTTTACTGCTCAGAGACACCCGACGCTGTTACTGCCGCTGTTACTGCTGCTGTTACTGCCGCTGTTACTGCTGCTGTTACTGCTGCTGTTACTGCTGCTGTTACTGCCGCTGTTACTGCCGTTGTTACTGCCGCTGTTACTGCTGCTGTTACTGCTGCTGTTACTGCTGCTGTTACTGCTGCTGTTACTGCTGCTGTTACTGCCACTGAAGGCAAGAGCTGCAAGCCGCTCTGATGGCATGAGCTGCAAGCCGCTCTGATGGCTTGTGCTGCAAGCCGCTCTGATGGCTTGTGCTGCAAGCCGCTCTGATGGCTTGTGCTGCAAGCCGCTCTGATGGTATGAGCTGTAAGCTGCTCTGACGGCATGAACTGCATGCCGCTCTGATGACAGGTGCTGCAAGCCCATATGATGGCATAAGCTTCGTGCTGCTCTGATGGCATTAGCTGCTTCGGAGGCCATGTTTCAAAAAGTCTTCGTATGTAATTGAGGCAGAACTGTATATGTTGGACATCGAAATGCGGTTGTAAGATTAATAGCCGTTCACTGATATCGACAACACTGGCACTAGTCAATATGAGAGAAACGCGGAAACGTTGAATAGATCAAAACTAAACTTGAGGTCAAAATTCAACTTCAGGTAAAAATTCAATTTGAGGTAGCTTAGGGGGAAAAGTCGTGCGAATATAAAATTCCGATATGATCTTTTTTTGCGAACCATTGAGTATTCGAATAAAAATCAGAAATTCTACGGATTAGCCGCATAATTGGGATTAATATGCACTCCGAGGGATGGAAGTATTATTAAAAGGCTTTATCGATGTTTTACATTAGATACAAGGGTAAATAGTTAATAAGACTTACATCATCACATTTCAAGTGGGGTTGAACGAATAATGCGGCTTACATCGACACGTTACCAGGGCCCATACTTTCAAAAAAAGTTAAGAGATCGTAAGTCCATCAGCCAATCATTGACGGCCACGCAAGCAAAATCCACTAATCATAGACAAGAAAATAGAGCGTAAGTACTTACGTTCACTTAGCGAGTTTTGAAAGTATGGCCCCTGTAGGGTAGTAACGGTTAATTGACCTTAGATAGTCATGGAAGCCTCGAACATAGGTACTGCCTTTTACCTTCTGCTGAAGTTAAAGCTATATTTAGAAGAGAGATGGTCAAGAGTAGTTAAGAGAGATGGTCAAGCAGCAAACCAGCAATGAGGGTACGGGGACATTACTTGACACTGCAATAACGGAAACAGCAGTTCTGCCGATACGTTACTCAATGCATTTCGTTACCTCAAGAATTTCTGAAATGATATCATGCTCAATAAGACCTAGATTGAGGATAAACATCATTACGATGAATTGAAAAAACTCAGCTCGAGCTGATACGAAAAATTTATGTAGGAATTTTATTCTCTGCCTCAGGACGAAGTCGATGAAGAGCCTTTCAGTGACTACACTCCAACTGGGAAAGCTGACGAGGGGCTTTGAGTCACTCAGTGAAGATATCAGAAGTCAATTCTCTGTCCCGATTAACTTGGTTCATTTCTGTGAGATGCATTAGCAATTCACTGATGTGATATCATCGTGGTAGACGCCCGAGGTCGTAGCGCCTGACCAACTCATCTTTTATATTTTACATAGATACGTTGAAATCTATGTTAACGGAGATGATGATCTGGATGAATTCAGCACATGGCCATCACACTTCCTCGTGAAATTCCTTTTATTAATATTGGGCTGGTGTTGACATGACTGAACCTGCGACGATGATGATGTGCACTGATTATTAATGTGTTCTGGTGACGTTGCTCGAAGTTATTGTCCGCGTTGTGTCGCAGGAGCGATGGTCGGACCCGGGAGATGGCTGAGCCTGGGTGCTGCTGTTCGCTACTTCTTGAACGCCTGCGATGTCTCGTGCAGCCGCGACGTCCATTGGAGCCGTAAGTTGTTGCTGCACGGTACCTTCTCATGAAGTCGTTGGGTCGCTCGTGATTTAATTGAGTCACCCTTACTATTTCTTCTCCTACTTACTATTATATTAACCCTCCTACTTACTATTGCATTTACTCTCCTACTTACTATTATATATACCCTCATACTTATGGTGTAGTTTCCTTCCTACTTACTATTGTATTTACCCTCCTACTTACTAAGATATTTGCCCTCCTATTTACTTTTGTATTTACCCTCCTTCTTATTAAGGTATTTGCCCTCTAACTTATAATTGTATACACACTCCTACTTACTATTTTAATTGCCATCTTAATAACTATTGTATTTACCCACGTATTTGCTATTGTCTTTACCCTCTAACATATTGATGCATTTGTCCTCCTACTTACTACTGTATCAACACTCCTACTTACTATTGTATTTACCCTCTTACTTACTATTGTATTTACCCTCCTACTTACCATTGTATTTGTCCTCATATCTACGATTTTATTTACCCTCCTACACTGAAACAAATCGGTGCGTAGAAACTACGCACCAAAGTGACTATCCCGGCTTGTCCCAAAATTAGTTGCCAAAGCCGTCTGAAACGCCCCTCAGCCAGCCGGAGCGCGTAATTAAAAGCTACTTTTAGAGCTTACTTACCGCCGGCCGACGCTTCTATATAGCAGTACGGTGAAGGAAAACACCAAATATAATATAGAGCGTAGTATGAGAGAAAGACTGTCGGAAGTACATCATTTTATTAGAATACCACATTATAAGGTGGTATATACCACATTATACACGATTGGTGTGTAAAATAAAATATTATTGAAATTCCTATACATTGCTCTTCACAATGCAACTCTTTGAACATGTCCCTTCATGTTGAGATATGACCGGATTTAGTTATACATGTTTTCTCGTGACAGTTACATTATATGAGCAAGTAGTATAGATAAGGGGTGTACCGTCACACTTTGCATAAACAGCTTAAATCATAGGTTACCACAATGTTACCCCGATTCTTACCCAACAAAATTAACCAATTACCCCCCGATTAAAACCTCTTTCAATATCGGGGGGTAATAGAAAAACCTCCAACTAACACAAAAATTAACCAATTACCCCGAATCTGTATAAACAGCTTAACAGGGTACCGATCATTTAGCCCGAATCTTACCCAACAAAATTAACCAATTACCCCCGAATCATGAGTTAACGACCATTTACCCCGATTGAGCACTCTTTAACTGAGAACTCTGGACTTAACCTAGAGCGGTTACTTGAAAAATACTTCTGTGGAATATATAATTTCTTACAGTGTAATCCTGAATGCTGATACAGCGTACTGCCAGGGTATTTCACCAGCTCAATTCATTTACTTATATAGAGCAAACACCCCTTTCCCACGAGTCATTTCCCGAGCCCCTCACAAAGCACGTTAAATCGGTCACAGGGAATGGGTGTTGTCTATTTAATATCACGCGAGTAACACTTTAAGGAGAGGTGCTCATGCTCATTGTGTGACATTACCACCTCGGAGAACGACTGCATCAGATCACCATTCTCATACACATGAGTTACAATACATTTTTGTGAAAGTTCGAGGAAAAAAGTGATGGCGGGCATAATTTCTGTGGAAGAACTTATGCTGAGAAATGCACGGTCTGAACTGATTCAAGTTGTAGGAAGGATCGAAGAGGCGTTAAGAGACCCTCAATCATATCAAACAGTGAAAAATATGATCGAGAAAGATAGAATACACATCCAAAAATCTTCGTGTTTTTGTTAGACAAGTTTTCAATGCAATGAAGAGAAGCAGATTTCAAACACCGATGGAGCTGAATAATTGGCTAAAGAAGCATGTATTTGACAATCAACAGTACAGAAGTATTGAACCTCCTGCTCATACTTGTGATAATTATGACGAAATTTTCAGTTATTTGGTGAGATCTAAAAATGTAATAAAATCACAGCAGAAAGCCTTCCTCGCAGATCAAATGCTCTTCGGATATTTCTTACACCTTCTGTGTGAAAAACGTTTCAATGAATATGTGTGCGGAGAAAAAAGGTCTACCTTGCAAACATTGTTAGCTGACCATATAGGCAGCAGTATATCCTACGCAAATCGACTTCGATGGATTGCAAGCTCGGATATCGGTTTCAAAATCTTAAATACTTATCCCTATCTCTCCATGAACTATTAAAAAAGCAAAGGGAAAGCACGAATTTATTTCGTCATCATCCTCATCTTGCCAATGAGTGGAAATTGGAAGCCCGGGAGATGGATATGGAAGCAGAGTAGAGGAGATGGATACAGCGAGCGAACCACCAATTAGGTCATTAGCGCTTGCCGAGCACATCCGGCCAGCGCTGCTCCAGCTCAGGGTCAGCTACGCGCACCGACCATAACGCACCATTATTAACCGCACGCAACCGACTCAAGCCCACGAGCAGGCATCACCAATTCAAGCATCGAGTCACCACCACCCACATTCACTATCAAGCTACATCTCAAATGTTGTGTTCTATTACCCTTTTTTAATTTTATCAAAGAGATCGAATCAATAATTTTTCAATGTGCTTTTAATTTTTTCTACATAAAATGAGAGCTGACGAATCATCTGATGGAAGTCATGTTGAAAATCACACATTGAAGGCGAAAACCCTTTGGATAAATTTTTTAAGTAAAATGGAAGAAATATTGTCAGCATGAATAACTGTGAACTTTATAACACATTGGTTAAAAACCTGAAGAAACATATAGAAACTCAAAAGCATCGTAAAGCAATTAACAATTCGATAATATCAAATGCTTACTTCAATACAAAAACAAAATGCGTAATATGTAATCGCGAATTTCAAAACTTGAAAAGGCATGAACAAACAAACGCTCATAGAAAACGTCTATATGATGGCATATTAGCCAGTTCTTTCTTTTATTGTAATCTTTGTAATTTAGAAGTGGATGATATCGTAGTTCATGAAGATTCAAATGTTCATCTTGTAAATAAATTTGATAGCATGCGAGGTGATATTAAGAAGGCTGGTAATGACACATGCACAGAACATATTTATCATGATATAAGAACGATTGATCCTTAGTTGTTTCTAAAGAATATAACATCTGAATTTATTCAAGTAGTTAAACAGTCAAAATTCGATAACATTAAATTACAGTTGAATTTGCAAATCGAGTTTTATAAATTTAAATTAGGCAGCGAGAAAATCTATAATAGCGCTTGGTTCAATTCAAACAGGTTTATAGAACTTTTAAGGATCCGCATAAATTTAAATACAATTAAAGAACTGTATGATAATCTGATACATAGAATCGAAGAGTTTACAAACAACTCTTCTGGATGGATATTAAATAAGTTGCTAAACTTTACAATTAAAATTTTTGAATACAAACCTTTAAGAGGTTCTAGCTATATTGAATTACCTGAAATATTGAGACATCCAAAATATAAGTTAATAAATATTAAAAACCAAGATAACATGTGCTTTAAGTGGGCGGTCGCACGCCACTTCTGCAGGGATGAAGGACATGGTAAAAGAATAACGAAATTATTAAAGAAGAAAGCCGAAGAGTTAGAATTCGCAGATATCAAATTCCCTATGAAAATTAAAGACGTCGATTAATTTGAAACGATTAATAATATATCTATAAATGAATATAGCTTGATTTATTGTTTGGAGCTATGCCCACTTCGAATACCTAAAACTAAAAATAAAGATGTGGTTTCATTATTGTTAATAACAAATGAGAATGGATGTAATTATGTCCTGATGAGGTCTTTAAGTCCATTTATTAATAAGGCGAGTCATAAAACCAAATATGTCTGTCCATACTGCCTGCATGCATTTACACATGAAGACCTACTTGAAAAACATAAAGACGATTGCTCTGTTCACACACCTGTCAAATATGTTTATTGTGGTGAGAAACTAAAATTCAAGGCCTTTCAAAAGACTATCAAGCTTCCCTTTGTAATTTACGCTGATTTTGAACCGACTTTGATAGGTATTGATTCATGTCAGCCAGACCCTAAGCCGAATTCTACTAGGAATATTCAAAAGCATGAGCCTAATTGTTTCTGTTGCTATCCTAAATATAAAGTTGATCGATACTCAAAGTTGGAGTTATATAATGGTGAAGATGCATCGGAAAAATTTGTAGAATATCAAGAGGCAGAAACAAAACGTAAATTATTAAATCAATATCCAAAAAAGATGTTTTTATCACATGAAAGATATCATGAACACAGAAATGCTACAGTTTGCTATGTCTGTCATGAAGAGTTACTAAAGAAAACTATAAGGTTAGATACCACAACCACCTAACGGGAGACTATAGAGGTCCGGCGCATCTGTAGTTCAATTTTAAAATTAGAAATCCTAATCTTATCCCAGTGTTTATGCATAACTTATCCAATTATGATTCACATCTGTTTATTAAAGAACTAGGTAAAGTGTCTGGTAAAATTAATGCCATACCTGAGACGGATCAAAAATACATAAATTTCACACAGACAATCAAAGTCGGGATGTATATAGATAAAAAACTGGAAGAGAGCGAGATATAACAAGAGACTTAAGATTCTTGAAAACTTTCAGATTCATGTCTTCATCGTTGGATGCATTATGAAAAAATTTATCAGAGCATGTAGATTGTAGAATTAAAAAAAACATTTCCCTAATAATTAGGAGTTTAAATTTATACAAAACAAAGGTATATATCTATACGATTACATGGATACCTATGATAAAATGAACTCAATTAGTTTACCATCGAGGGATGAATTCTATAACAAATTAAATGATAAGCATATATCTGATAAAGAATATGGACATGTTAAAAAGGTTTGGGATGTATTCAAAGTGAAGCATTCAAAGACTATCATAATCTCTATCTCAAAGTTGACACCTTGTTATCAAGTGAAGTGTTTGAGAACTTTAGAAATACCTGATTGAAAACATACAAATTAGATCCAGCCCA